GAGATTTTGGTTCCTTGAGTTCTTGTGACCAGTGTTTTCCCAATATTCCTTATATTGAACATAGCTGGTGCTTTCACATCATACCAATCTTTTTTAGAAAATGGGTCAACCACTTTCTTCTTGGCTCCCTTTTTGCCTCCTTTCGTAAGGCGCTTGTTCTTGCCGACCGCCATGGTGCCGCTCAAAGAGCCAAAAAGGCTCTCTTTGTCTTTAACTTTTGCCATTTGAATTATAGTATATCTTGGTGTGGACCTCTTTGGGTTCATCCTGTTTGGGACTCTGTACTAAGTCCTAGATGTGGATGTCTGTGTCCTTTCCCAGGTTAGGGAAGTTTTCAACTCTAATTTTTCAAATAAATTCTCTACCCTTTTCTGTCTTCTCCCATTTGGGCCTCTTAACTGCTAATGTTATTATGCTTGCAGTTTTCCAAGAGATTTCTTAAGCTATTCTCGTTTTCATAAGTTCTTTTTTCTGTTCAGCTTGTGTGATTTCTGTTACTCTGACTTCCACTTTGCTGATCTGTTCCTCTGTATTATCTAATCCACTGTTGATTACATCTAGTGTATTTTTAATTTCAGTTATTGTGTCCTTCAGCTCTGTTTGGTTCTTCTTTGTATTTTCTCACTCTTAAACTTCTCACTTTGTTCATTCATTCTTCCAAGTTTGTTGAGCATCTTATGATCATTACCCTGTACTCTTTGTCAGGTGGATTGTTTATCGCCACTTACTTTAGTTCTTCTTTGGTTTTGTTTTGTTCCTTTGTTTGAAAAATACTCCTCTATCTCCGTGTTTTGCCTAAATCTCTGTTTATTTCTATTGGTTTGACCAAAAGGTTCATTCAGGTTTTTCCACTGTTATGGAAAAATCTGAACTAACTTTTTGGCCAACCCAATATGTAATAGGTAGGCCAGTTATTGAACATTTCCCAATTTTGGAGAAGTAGCCTTATACAGGAGACATCCTATGGGGCCCAGCTGCATGCTACTCTTGGTCACTTAGTTCTATATACTCTTGGGTGCCCTCTGTGGGCTGTGTGGGTCATTTTGTTGTTGGGGGGCCATGTACTGTGGACATGCTGGTAGGCAAGGCTGGCTGCCAGCCTAGTTGAATGCCAGGTCCTGCCTCATGAATGGCTGCCAACACACTAGTGGTGGGCTGAGGTCCTGGCACAACTGGCTGCACGGTCCCAGGGGTCTCAGGGTTGGTGTTGGCCCATGGTTGGGAGGGGCCAGATACCTCAGAGGCTGAGGCTGGTGCTGGCCTGCTAGTGGGTGGGTAAAGCCCCCAGGACTAATAGGCTAGAGGGAGTACTCCAAAATGTTTCTTGCCAGCACCAGTATCCTCATGGTAGAACAAGGTCACTCATTTGGCTGCTGCCAATATCTGTGTCCCCAGGTAGTGTCCCAGTTGATACATTCCTCTCCAGAAGGCTCTGCAAGATTAGCAAGTGTTTCTGACCCAGGCTCCTTTCAAGTTACTGCCTCTGTACAGGGAGACCATGTGAGATTTGACATGCACCCTTTAAGAGCAGAGTCTTTTTCTTACAGCCTTCTAGCTGTCCTGTACACAAGCCCTGCTGACTTTCAAAGCTAGATGTTCTGGGGACTCATCTTCCCAGCTCAGAATCCCTGGACTGGGGATCCTTATGTGTGTCTGTAACCCCTCACTCCTTGGGGAAAACCCCTGCAACTGTGATTATCCTCTGCTTTGTGGGTTCCTTAGCTGGAGATGGGGGTTTTGACTATACCATGTCTAACTTTTATAGCCAAATGTTTAATTCACTTTATTTTCTCCTGATATAGGTGTTCTTGGCTGTGTGTATTTTGTGTTCTTGGCTGTGTGTATTTTCTTCTCAACTGGTTTGGCTGTATTCTTTAGGTTCCAATGTGTAGTATTCTCCTTATTTCTAAAAGATTTGCTGTTTTGATATCTTTTTTAACCCAGATCCATAGGTTTTGTTGTTGTTTTAAGGTGGAAGGCCATGGTCTTATTTTAAATTTATAATTTTGGTGCATTGTCACCAGGGTAATTTGACTCTCTTATTGTTACTTTTGGATTCATTGAGATTTTCTTTATGGCCTTTCTTAAAGGTTAATTTTTATTGATTGGAAACTTAAAAATTGACTTTTTCTTGATAAAAATAGTTAAGCAATACTTATTTCTCTAATAATTATTTATTAATACCTAGTTCATATATCCATCTAAAATTTGTTAAGGTTTATTTGTTTTGGGCTGCACTGGATCTTCATTGATGCATGCGGGCTTTCTCTAGTTGTGGCGAGCAGGGGCTGCTCTCTAGTTGTGGTATGTGGGCTTCTCATTGCAGGGGCTTCTCTGTTGTGGAGCACAGGCTGTAGGCACACAGGCTTCAGTAGTTGCAGCATGTAGGCTGAGTAGTTGTGGTGCATGAGCTTAGTTGCTCCTCAGCATGTGGGATCCTCCTGCATCAGGGATCAAACCCATGTCCCCTGCATTGGCAGGTGGGTTCATAACCACTGGACCACCAGTGAAGCCCTATCTAAAATTTTGAGATTGTAGGACTTCCCTGGTGGTACAGTGGATAAGAATCTGCCAGTGCGAGGGACACAGGTTCGATCTCTGTTCCAGGAAGATCCCACATGCTGCAGAGCAACTATGCCCATGAGCCACAGCTGCTGAGCCTGTGTGCTGCAACTACTGAAGCCCATGTGCCGAGAGCCTCTGCTCCACGGCAAGAGAGGCCACTGCACTGAGAAGTCCGCACCCTGCAACTGGAGAGCAGCCCTGCTCTCCACCTGCACGCAGCAAGGAAGACCCAGCACATCCAAAAATCTTTAAAAACAAAAATAAAACAAAAACTTGAGATTATAAAATCTGTATTTGGCAATAGTGTAAAACTTCAGCAGCCCAGTTAAAGACATTGTAGACATATTTTCTTAAGAGGGAAACTTTTTCGATGCATACCAAAATTATGCAGTTTCCATACATAAATTTCTTAGGTACAATAAAGAATGCTTTAAAACTTGAACTGAAAATTTAATGAAAAATAAAATGTATAGCTAGTATAGATAAAATAGGAAAAAAGTATAGGTCTTGTATTTAGTGTATGTACAAAGTAGTATATATGGGCTTCCCTGGTAGTTCAGCTGGTGAAAAATCCTCCCGCTATACAGGAGACCCTGGTTCAATTCCTGGGTCAGAAAGATCCCCTGGAAAAGGGATAGGCTACCCATTCCAGTATTCTTGGGCTTCCCTGGTGGCTCAGATGGTAAGAATCCGCCTGCAATGTGGGAGACCTGGGTTTGGTCCCTGTTGGGAAGATCCCCTGGAGAAGGGAACAGCTACCCAGTCCAGTATTCTTGCCTGGCGAATTCCACAGACAGAGGAGCCTGGCAGGTGACAATCTGTAGAGTCTCAAAGAGTCGGACACAGCTGAGCAACTTTCACTTCACATATATGTGTATGTATATATATTCTTTTTCCTTACAGGTTATTAGGCAATATTGAGTGTAGTTCCCTGTGCTGTACAGTAGGTTTCTGTTGGTTTTCTGTTTTACATATAGTAGTGTGTATATGGTAATGCCAACCTCCTGATTTATCACTCCTCTCTTCCCCTTTAGTAACCATCAGTTTGTTTTCTGTGTCTATGAGTCTTTTTCTGCTTTGTAAATAAATTAATTTGTATCTTCTTTTTTTTTTTAAGATTCTGCATGTCCTGTGATATTTGTCTTTGTCTGATTTCAGATAATCTCTAGGTCCATCAGTGTAACTGCAAATGGCATTATTTCATTCTTTTTTATAGCTGAGTAGTATATTCCATTTGTGTGCGTGTATATCTGTATATACACACACTCCACATCTTCTTTATTCTGTCAGTTGACATGTAGGTTGTTTCCATGTCTTGGCTATTGTAAATAGTGCTACAGTGAGTATTGGGTTACATGTATCTTTTTGAATTATAGTTTTGTTCAGTATATGCCCAGAAGTGGGAATGTAGATAAGTAGTTTAAAGGAACCTCCATACTGTTCCCCATAGTGGCTGTACCAATTTATTCTCCCACCAACAGTGTAGAAGGATTTATTTTTCTCCACACCCTCTCCAGCATTTGTTATTTATAGACTCTTGATGATAGCCATTCTGACCAGAGTGAGGTGATACCTCATTGTAGTTTTGATTTGCATTTCTTAATAATTAATTAGTGATGTTGAACATTTTTTCATGTGCTTGTTGGCCATCTGTATGTCTTCTTTGGAGAAATATCTAGGATCTTCTGTCCATTTTTTGATTAGGTTGTTTGTTTGTTTTTTTTTTGAACTGAGTTTGTGAGTCAGTTTTATATTTTGGAAATTAATCCCCTGTCAGTCACTTCATTTGCAAATATTTGCTCTATTCTGTATGTTGTCTTTTGTTTATGGTTTCCTTTGCTGTGCAAAAGCTTTTAAATTTAATTTGGTTCTTCCATTTATTTTTATTTCTGTCACTCTAGGAGATGAATCCAAAAAGATATTGCTGCAATTATGTCAGAGAGTGTTCTAATTTGACCAATTTTAAAAATGAATGTATAGGGAGGTTTCTAAGGCTTAGGATCCCAGTTTCATAATTCTGGTATACATCCCTGAGTTTTGCTTCTATATTCTTTAAATTGCTTGTTGATGGAGTTATTCTTTACATTTGCAGCTCCATGGACTAACAGCCCACTGGGCTCCTCTGTCCATGGAATTCTCCAGGCAAGAATACTGGAGTGAGCAGCCATTCCCACCTCACCCAGGCATCGAGCCTGGGTCTCCTGCATTGCAGGCAGATACTTTACCATCTGAGCCACCAGGGAAGCCCAGCGAGTACTCTGAGATCTCCGGGTGGGGGGTAGCTATTCTTTGCATATTTCATGAAAACCCTATTTTATCGTTATCTGAACGTGTCTGAGTCGACTTGATAAATTGTTATGTTTGTGTTCTGATACAAGGATGGGTCACCTCTGTAATTTCTGTATAATACTTTACCTTTTTTTTGTTGTTGTTAGGATATTTATTTGACTGCTACCTTAAAATACAGGCCGTAAAAATGCCAGCTTGTTTGGACTTAGAAGATGACCTGGACAAATGATAAAAATTAAGAAAGACATTTTGGTGAGTGAAAACTTACTTGAGAGTAAATATGGCTCAACTTAATTCCTACCAGTGGAAAGACACTACCGAAGTTATAGAGCGAAATTCTCTTAAGTTTGAATGCCTTCTGTTTCTCTGAGGTTAAGACCTTGATCTTGCTCTTTTTTTATTCTCTCTGTCAATCCATAGACCTCCCAAGAGGCACATCATAACACTTAAATGCATTTTGAATACCTGGTCTCTTCCAGCATTCCACCAAACCCAGCATAACTCACTGAGGCCTAGTGTTCTACCAGGCTTCCCTGGTGGCTCAGAAAGTAAAGAATCTGCCTGCAGTTCAGGAGACCCAGGTTTGATCCCTGGGTAGGGAAGATCCTCTGGAGAAGGGAATGGCTACTCACTCCAGTATTCTTGCCTGGAAAAATCCCATGAACAGAGGAGCCTGGCGGATTACAGTCCATGGGGCTGCAAAGAATCAAACACGACTGAGCGACTTAACACTAATGTTCTACCAGTCAGTTTTGTAAGTTATACTTGGATTTAACTCAATCCAGGTTAGTCTTAAACTATTTAGACTTAATTAGAAACTGATTAGACTTAATTAGAAATTGAAAACTGATGGCTTGTGGGCCATATGCAGCTACAGTGTGTTTCATTTGGCCCATAGGGTATTTTCCAGAAATATAAATCTGTTCTTAAATTTGGAGATTTTACTCAGCATATGGATTTTGTGCTTAGTCGCTCAGTTGTATCCCACTCTGCAACCCCATGGACTGTAGCCTGTCAACGCTCCTCTGTTCACGGGGATTCTTTAGGCAAGAATCTGGAGTGGGTTGCCATGCCCTCCTCCAGGGGATTTTCCCAACCCAGGGATCGTACCCAGGTCTCCCACATTGGAGGCAGATTCTTTACCGTCTGAGCCACGTCTTTTCTTCAAATTCAGAATGTTAGTCCTGTGCCTGCTCAACTCCTTCCATTCCTCCAGAAAGAAAATAATAAAATGGAGCAAAGTAGCGAGTGCCTAGCATAGATGGGTATTTGAGTTTCCCGTTGCTCAAACCATTCATACAGTATATGTAAATACATTTGATATTCAACATTCTTCCCTTATTTATTGTACACACCTGAAGCCTGTAGGTATATGAATTTGTGATTTCTTAGGTATGTAGTAGTGTCTTATCTTTTTACTCAAATGGCAGATAATCTGAATAGTTTGTGACAATCTTTTAACGATTATTCACATATAAATCTGAATATGTATAAATACATATATTTATATCTGAAAAGACTGTTGCTGCTGAGTCGTTTCAGTCGTGTCCGACTCTGTGCCACCCCATAGACGGCAGCCCACCAGGCTCTGCCGTCCCTGGGATTCTCCAGGCAAGAACACTGGAGTGGGTTGCCATTTCCTTCTCCATTGCATGAAAGTGAAAAGTGAAAGTGAAGTCGTTCAGTCGTGTCTGACTCTTCGAGACCCCATAGACTGCAGCCTACCAGACTCCTCCGTCTATGGGATTTTCCAGGCAAGAGTACTGGAGTGGGTTGCCATTGCCTTCTCCGGAAAAGACTTATCAGTAGCTAAATATATGTAATATATGTGATATGTAAATTTATATTTTTATAAATGTGTATGTTCAAATGTATATATATCTAAAACCTACTGTGATTTGGAAGGTATTCATAAATAAGCTCTTTCACATTCCCAGTGTGGTGGAGTTTTACTGTGAAACAACACTGTGTTTCTGATATGCTTGCTTTTCCTTTTAAAAAAATTTTTTTAAACTCTTTATTATGATCAGTTTCAAATATATGTATAGTACCGATAAAAATACAATGAACACCCATGTACCCATCATCTATAATTAGCCATTATTAACATTTTATTGGGTGACTCAGTGGTAAAAGAATCCGCCTTCAAACTCAAGTTTGATCCCTGGGTAAGGAAGATGCCCTGGAGAAGGAAATAGCAACCCACTTCCATATTCTTGCCTGGGAAATCCCATGGACATAGGAGTCTGGTGGACTATAGTCCATGGGGTCACAAACTTGGATATGACTTAGCAACTAAACAACAACATTTGGTTAATCTGTTTTTTTCCTAAATTATTTTAAAGTAAAGTATAGACATCGTGACATTTTACCTCTAAATGCTCCAGTACGCATCTTGTGAGACTTCCCCAGGGGTCAGTTGTTAAAGACTGTGGACTTCCATTGCAGGGTTTGATCCCTGATCGGGAACTAAGATCCCGTGTGCCATGTGGCATAGCCAAAAAGATAAATGCTAACTATCTCTTATAGTAAGCACATTGTGCTTTATAACCACAGCACCATTATTATCACACCTAACAAAGTAATAGCTGACTTCTTGTCTCCCAGTAGAGAGTTTTCCAAATCTGGATGCACAGCCTACGTGGCATGACCAAGCAGGGATTTGTTTGTTTGGTTTTGTTTCTTTGACTTTTGCAGGAGAGTTTTGCCGGGGATCTGAGTTCCCTGACCAAGACTAAGGATCAAAACTGTGCCCCGTGCAGTAGAAGCCTGGAGCCCTAACTAGTAGACCACCAGGGAATTCCCAGGCAGCAGCTTTTAAACCCTTAGAATATTTTTTAGTTTTATTTATTTACCTTTAAAGTTCCTTGATATCAGTAAAATGTAGATGGTGATTGACTAAGGGCAATGGTATTTATAAAGGATTTTCTGAATGCTGTTTTTTCTTGACCATTCAAATTATACTATTCCTTTCTAACACTGATGGTGCTAGAAAAGGTTATAATTGCCAGACTATAAGATACTATGCTCAAATGTAAATTTTTTTTCGTATTTATTTACAACAGAGAAATTTCCCCCCTTAAGGTTGCTTAGGTTAGTTTTTGAAACGCCTTTGCTCTTGAAGTTTACTGACTATTTAAAACAGAATCAATAATTTTTAAAAGTTGATACTTTTTTCTTATTTGTGCAGGAAGTATAATCATAGTATGGCATATGTAGCTTTCCTTTTTCCTAATGACTTATAGCATATTTGGAAAATAGGAAAATTATCAGCAATCTTGCCAACCTAGTACAATTACTATTTGTATTTTAGTTGATTTATTTTCAGTCCTTTTTTCTTAATCATCTTAAAAAAAAACTCATAGTTGTAATTATGCTTTATGTAAGGGATTTTTTTTTAATTAGAAAATTTGTGTGAGGTTCTTATTTCCTTGCCATTCTTGCTTAACACACATTAATAAAAATTGATATTAATTCATTCACTTTTGGGTTAAGAATGTGATCATCAGTCCCAGAGATAATGGAGGAAATGGCCACGTGGTGTGTGGTCTTTAATATTTGTATTCTTTGGTAGACAACATAACTGAAAATAGCAGAAAATTTGAGTTCTCTAAACCTAAAAGTTAAAAAGTAATTTGGTTCTGTCCTAGACATAGATAGTTCTTTGCCTCTGTAAACATGTGGTAACCACTTGCTTTCCTTTTGCAAAAGTAGTTCTTTTTTTTTTTTCTTTTCTTTCAAAACTTTTTCTTTCTTTTTTTTCTGTTTCTGAATCATTATTTTTAGCTATGCCACTATCAATAACCCTTTAAAAGTTATTTTAAATGGTCCTTGTGAAAGACTTTTAGGTTGTCCTGCAGATCCTCTTAGTGAGGTTAGGTTGTCCTTTGCAGGTTGAAGAGGAGGACTTTATTTATTTTATTTTTTTTTTTATTTTTTTTTTCCATTTATTTTTATTAGTTGGAGGCTAATTACTTTACATCATTACAGTAGTTTTTGTTATACATTGAAATGAATTAGCCATAAGAGGAGGACTTTAGAAACCTTGGTTGCTCTGAAGCATTTGTTAGGACAGGAATAAGAAGAGTCTTGGGGTCAGCCTGAGTCTTGCTCTCTGGGGATCAACCAAAGGCTTACGTGAATTAACTCTTAGAAGATACCTATTTTAGTTTTTTGTGATCTCTTGTTCCTTTCTGCCTATATTCTAGGCTGACAAAAGGAATTTTAGTTAAAACTGGTAAATTTTTATTTCTAGTATCTATAAGAACTTTTAGAATATCTTAATTAAAATAGTTTATCCTCACTGTAATTTTTAATTTATAGTATTTTGTTATTACTTGTCAAATAAATTTAGTTTTCATAGAACTATATATTCTTGATTGTGTAAGTATGTGTTGTAATACTTTTTGTATCTTCTGTTTTGAAAGGTTTTTTTATTGTCCACTTGACATATGCTTCTGGAATAATATTCACCATGGTTTTGGATGACCTTCCAAACTTAGAAGACATCTATACTTCCTTGTGTTCATCAACAGTAGAAGACTCAGAGATGGATTTTGACTCTGGACTAGAAGATGATGACTCAAAAAGTGATAGTATGTTGGAGGATTCCACAATCTTTGTGGCCTTCAAAGGAAATATAGATGATAAAGACTTCAAATGGAAATTGGACACAATATTGGAGAATGTGCCCAATTTGTTACACATGGGTAATTTGCTTTAATTATTTTTCCTTTTGTTACTGTTTTTGAATTGCCCTTCTGTAGTTATCTTGAGTTTTACAAAGTACAACTGTGCTATATTAGGTTGAAAGGCTGATTTTAATTGCAAAGTTGGAATTTTAGAATTTTTTTAAATAGAAATGCTGTTGTATTTTTTTAAGTACATGGAGTGACTGAATATAAAGCATTGCTTAGCATTGTAATCCTTAAATTATCTGTTCTAATGGATAGAAGAGGGCTTCCCAGGTGACTCAGTAGTAAAGAATCCAGCTGCAATGCAGGAGGCGCAGAAGACACAGGTTCAATCCCTGGGTCAGCAGGATCCATCCCCTGGAGGAGTAAATGGCATTCCATTTCAGTATTCTTGCCTGGGACTTCTTCCCATGGACAGAGGAGCCTGGCAAGCTATAGTCCATGGGGTCACAGAAGAGTTGGACATGACTGAATGACTAAACAACAACAAAAATGGATGGGAGTAATTCTCCAGACCCAAATTTATTTATTGTTTGCAGCTCTCTGGTCTTTAATTTCCTTTCCTATAAAATGACTGGCTCTTTGAGGCCACTTAAAGCTTACAAAAATCTTTTACTCCATGGCTTTTTTGGCTTTACTTAAAATGTATTTGAAATTTGTTCTCTTAAATTTTAGATCAGAGGTTAACTGATAGCCTACTGGATCCAGTGTGCAGCCATGTGTTACATACAGCTCACTTTAGTTTTTCTGATTATTTTTTTGTTTGCTTATTTGTTTTTTAGTGTTTGAATTTTATTGCCAATGCTTCAAGAAATATATATTTTACATTAAAATTCAGATTTTGGATTTGTCTTTATATAGGAAAGGTCTAATAATATTAAACTCTCCTATCCCAGGTGGTGCTAAGTAGCAGCTGCTGCTGAAGACATACCTTTCCCTCACCATAGTCCCATCTGGTCTCTTCACACATTTAGTTAACCTATAGTGGTCTTACATGAATTTGTGCTTGTCAACTTCAGTTTCTGTGTTCTCCATCTTTTCTGGTTAGCGCAGTTATTTAATCCCTTCAGACATAGTGCAAAGCCTAGATTTTATCCTTTTATCACAAATCTTAAGCACTAACCAACTTTTTTAGGTTTTGAGGTCTTATTCTTTAGAATTAATGTCAGGAGGAGAGCTTTTTTTTTCCCCTCAATTGTTCTCTTTTAAAAAAAATGATGTCGTTTAAGACTTCTTTCTAGTTATGGATTATATAATACATTATTAGAGAATTTTATGGTGAAAGTTGTAATTGTCACCATAGTCGTGTTATAATGTATCATATTTTAAGGGCTAGCTGGGTCTGATTATTCATTGTTCTTAATTATCCACATTTTTTCTTGTTTTTAAATAGCTGAATTAGTTTATTAATGGCTTTTAAATACATTAGCAAACTCAGACTTATGGTTATCAGTTATATTCTTGATCCAAAAAGTATTTTAAGTTCAGTTCACTCGCTCAGTCGTGTCTGACTCTGTGACGCCATGAGTCACAGCACGCCAGGCCTCCTTGTCCATCACCAACTCCCGGAGTTTATTCAAACTCATGTCCATTGAGTCGGTGATGCCATCCAGTCATCTCATCCTCTGTCATCCTCTTCTCCACCTGCCCCCAATCCCTCTCAGCATCAGGGTCTTTTCCAATGAGTCAACTCCTCGCATGAGTTGGCCAAAGTATTGGAGTTTCAGCTTCAGCATCAGTCCTTCCAGTGAACACCCAGGACTGATCTCCTTTAGGATGGACTGGTTGGATCTCCTTGCAGTCCAAGGGACTCTCAAAAGTCTTCTCCAATACTACAGTTCAAAAGCATCAATTCTTCAGTGTTCAGCTTTCTTCACAGTCCAACTCTCACATCCATACATGACCACTGGAAAAACCATAGCCTTGACTAGACGGACCTTTGTTGGCAAAGTAATGTCTGCTTTTTAATATGCTATCCAGGTTGGTCATAACTTTCCTTCCAAGGAGTAAGCATCTTTTAATTTCATGGCTGCAATCACCATATGCAGTGATTTTGGAGCCCAGAAAAATAGTCTGACAGTTTCCACTGTTTCCGCATCTATTTCCCATGAAGTGATGGGACCAGATGCCATAATCTTAGTTTTCTGAATGTTGAGCTTTAAGCCAACTTTTTCCACTCCCCTTATTTTAAGTTAGATATTCTCAAATATGATGAAAGTTAAGGGGAAAAAAATTTTGATAAAATATAACAGTGTTATAGTTAAAATTTTTTCTGTAGGCTTATCAAAAGTAGATAACATCAAAAGCAAGTTTAATGTTTGTCTGGGCCACATAAGGTATAAGATTCCAGTACTGTTCAGACTGAGAAGAAGCCCTGCAGCATCTGCCTCTGTAGTAGCAGAATCTCAGGCTCCTTGCCTTTTGCTGTTTAGATGTATAAGTGTCATGGAAAGGAAAATGGCCTGAAAATCAGAGCTGGATTTTAATGCCACTTTAGTGATAGGTAGCCACTGGATTCTGGGTAAATCTGTTAGATTTTCTGGGCTTCAGTTTCCTCCGCTATAAAGTACATTTGGACTAAATCATGCATAATCCTTCCTAAATTTCCTTGATTATATATCTCGCTGCTCTTAGCCAGTAGTCTCTTTTTTTCCATATTAGGACAAGTGGACTCCATGGCTTTATAAACTGATAATGTATAATGGTTTTGAAGGTAGAAGGGGCTTTTAGGTAACATGTAGACATTTTCCCCATCCATGTAAATTTCTTATTTTGAGAACATATATGCCTAAATGACCATTTTCTCAATACTTGAATATATAATTGAATAGAGGATACAAAAGATTTGATGTAGCTGAGTTTATAACAGAAGGGAAAATTATTTTGTGTGGGGTTGTTGGGGAAAAAATTTTTTTTATTATTATCTAACTGGACCTGGGATTTGCTTTCCATCTGTAAACTATAATTACAAACAACATTACCTCCTCAATTAGTTTAACTTTTGCAATCATAATTTAAAAATATCTTCGAAAAAAAAATATCTTCAAAGTTTACATTGACTTTTCAGGTTTGCTGAAATGTAATGTTTTCTTATCCTAACTGAAATATAGTTGTGAGATTTATGTTGCTTTTCTTCTCAGTTTGGTGTGCTTCAGTGGAAATTCTGCTCTTGTTTAAACTAGAAAAAGATTAAAAATCAGAGATGTAAAGAATCAAGACATAAGCCTTCCTTAAACTGAAGCATTTACAGGACATTGGAAGAAATGTTTGCTTCCTATATCTATGAATATCTTTCACAGAGATGCTCATTTAAATATGAGCATGAAAATTTAAATATGAGTACTAAAAGTACAACTTTTTATTTGAAGAACTATAATTGCTCAACATTTTATAAGTGAATCTACCATCTTCCTTTTCAGTGCTCTTTCTTTAAACAAGTTTAGTGAATTGTAGCTGCATATTCCTTAATATCCTACTGTTGGCATATCTGCCAGTTGAATTTTTATAGAATTTCACTTAAAATTTGAAACTTAAATTTTCTTAGCTTCTCAGTTCACATACATTAAACTGAGTCTAGAAGTAGACCTTATTCTAGTAATTTAAACTTATCTCTCCCTTCTGTCATAGGATCCTTATTCCATCCTTACTGCTTTCCATCTATTAAATGCCTATGGTATGTCAGGTACTATGCTAGATTTTTGGCATATAATTATATCATTTAGCACTCACAGTCTCATGAAGTAGTTTTTTTGTGGTTTTAGAGAAGAGAAAGATAAGTTTCAGAAATGTTAAATAGCTTGTTCATGAGTTCCCGGGTGCTAAGTGGTAAAGCTGGGATTAAATTTAAGGTCTTAATACCAAAGCTTAAGCTCTCACAGCTACTCCATACTGGTATTCTACCTTGTTCTTTTACTTCCTTGTTGTTGTTCATTCCATGTCTTCTGATGGCTAAAACGTTACTAATATTATTCTCTTCCTTTCATGACCAAGAATCCAGCAAGCTAAAGGTACAGAAGGTGGAGCCCTGGAACAGCGTGCGTGTGACATTCAATATCCCCCGGGAAGCAGCGGAGCGGCTTCGGATCCTGGCTCAAAGCAACAACCAGCAGCTTCGGGATCTGGGAATTCTCTCCGTTCAGATTGAAGGTAAATGTCTGGTTCCAGATTATAGGAATACTAGAATATAGCATGATTTATAGCATGTGCCACTTTGTCTGTTCCTCTTAAGTTGAATTCACAATGCCAAATAACTCACAGAAAGTTAACCAAAATGATCACATGGATCATAGCCTTGTCATGGTGAAGGAGTTTGCATAACTCAGTGAAGCTATGACAAAATGTGGTCCACTGGAAAAGGGAATGGCAAACCACTCCAGTATTTTTGCTTTAAGAACCCCATGAACAGGCAAAAAATATGACACCAGAAGATGAGCTTCCCAGGTTGGTAGGTGTCCAATATTCTACTGGGGAAAAGCAGAGAAATAGCTCCAGAAAGAGCTGGGCCAAAGCAGAAACAGTGCTCAGTTGTGTATGTTTCTGGTGGTGAAAGTAAAGTCTGATGATGTAAAGAACAATATTGCATAGGAACCTGGAATGTTAGGTCCATGAATCAAAGCAAATTGGATATGGTTAAGCAGGAGATGGCAAGAGTGAATATCAACATTTTAGGAATCAGTAAAGTAAAATAGACAGGAATGGGCAAATTTAATTCACATGACCATTATATCTACTACTGTGGGCAAGTATCCCTTAGAAGAAATGGAGTAGCCTTCATAGTCAACAAGAGTCTGAAATGCAGTACTTGGGTGCAGTCTCAAAAACAACAGAATGATCTCCGTTCATTTCCAAGCAAACCATTCAACATCACAGTAATCCAAGTCTATTCCCAAATCACTAATGCTGAAGAAGCTGAAGTTGACTGATTCTATGAAGACCTACAAGACCTTCTAGAACTAACACCAAAAAAAGATGTCCTTCTCATCTTAGAAGAGTAAAATGCAAAAGTAGGAAGTCAGGAGATACCTGGGATAACAGGCAAGTTTGGCCTTGGAGTACAAAATGAAACAAGGCAAAGGCCAACAGAGTTTTGTCAAGAGAACACACTGGTCACAGCAAACACCCTCTTCCAACAGCACAAGAGATGACTTTACACATGGACATCACCAGGTATCAGATTATATTCTTTACAGCCAAAGATGGAGAAGCTCTATATAGTCAGCAAAAACAAGACCTGGAGCTGACTGTGGTTCAGATTATCAGCTCCTTATTGCAAAATTCAGGCTTAAATTGAAGAAAGTAGAGAAAACCACTAGGCCATTCAGTTATGACCTAAATCAAATCCCTTATGATGATACAGTGGAGGTGATGAATAGATTAAGGGATTAGATCTGGTAGACAGAGTGCCTGAAGAACTATGGACAGAGGTCGTGACATTGTATACAGGAGGCAGTAACCAAAACCATCCCAAAGAAAAAGAAATGCAAGACGGCGAAGTAGTTGTTTGAGGCAGCCTTACAGATAGCTGAGAAAAGAAGAGAAGCAAAAGGCAAAGAAGAAAGGAAAAGTATACCCAGATGAATGTAGAATTCCAGAGAATAGGAAGGAGAGGTAAGAATATCTTCATATTTGAACAATGTACAGAAATAGAAGAAAACAATAGAATGGGGAAGATGAAAGATCCCTTCAAGAAAGTTGGAGATACCAAAGGAACATTTCATGTAAAGATGGGCAGAATAAAGAACTGAAATGGTAAGGACCTAACAGAAGCAGAAGAGATGACAAATATACATAGAAGACCTGTACAAAAAGGCCTTAATGTCCTAGATAACCACAATGGTGTGGCTCACCTAGAGCCAGACATCCCAGAGTGTGAAGTCAAGCGGGCCTTAGGAAGCATTGCTACAAACAAAGCTAGTGGAGGTGATGGAATTTTAGCTGAGCTATTTCAAATCTTAAAAGATGAAGCTGTTAAAGTGCTGCACTCAATATGTCAGCAAATTTGGAAAACTCAGCAGTGGCCACAGGACTGGAAAAGGTCAGTTTTCATTTCAGCCCCAAAGAAGGGCAATGCCAAAGAATGTTCAAACTACCATACAGTTGCACTCATTTCACATGATAGCAAGGTAATGCTCAAAATCCTTCAAACTAGGCTTCAGCAGTACATAAACCGAGAACTTTCAGGTGTACAAGCTTGACTTAGAAAACGTGGGGCAACTAGAGATCAAATTGCCAACATGTGTTGGGTCGTAGAGAAAGTAAGGGAATTCCAGAAGAACATCTACTTCTGCTTCATTGACTATTTTAAAGCTTTTGACTGTGTGGATAACAACAAACTGTGGAAAATTCTTAAAAAGATGGGAATATACCATACCACCTTACCTGCCTGCTAAGAAATCTATAATGCAGGTCAAGAAGCAACAGTCAGAACTGGACATGGAACAACAGACTGATTCAAAATTGAAAAAGGAGTTCATCAAGGCTGTATGTGTCACCCTGCTTATTTAACTTATATAGAGAGTACATCATGCAAAATGCCAAGCTGAATGAAGTTCAAACTGAAATCAAGATTGATGGGAGAAATGTCAACAACCTAAGATATGCAGATGATACCACTCTAATGTCAGAAAGCTAAGAGGAAGTAAAGAGCCTGTTGATGTAGGTGAAAGAGAAGAGTGAAAAAGCTGGCTTAAAACTCAACACTCAAAAAACTAAGATCATGGCATCCCATCCCATCACTTTATGGCAACTAGATGGGGGAAAGGTGGAAACAGTGACAGATTGTATTTTCTTGGGCTCTAAAATCACCGTCGATGGTGACTGAAGCTATGAAATTAAGACACTTGCTCCTTGGAAGGAAAGCTATGACAGACTTAGACAGCGTATTAAAAGAGACATCACTTTGTCAACCAAGGTCCGTCTAGTCAAAGCTATAGTTTTTCCAGTAGTCATGTATGGACGTGAGAGTTGGATCATAAAGAAGACTGAGTGCTGAAGAATTGATGCTTTCAAACTGTGGTGCTGGAGAAGACTCTTTGAGAGTCTCTTGGATAGCAAGGAGATCAAACCAGTCAATCCTAAAGGACATCAGTCCTGAATATTCATTGGAAGGACTGACGCTGAAGCTAAAGCTCTAGTACTCTGGCCACCTGATGTGAAGACCCAACTCATTGGAAAAGATCCTGATGCTGGGAAAGATTGAAGGCAAAAGGAGAAGATGGGGGCGGAGGATAAGATGGTTGGATGGCATTGTGATTCAGTGGACATGAGTTTGAGCAAAGTCGGATAGTGAAGGACAGCAAAGCCTGGTGTGCTGCAGTTCATGGGGTCACAAAGAGTCAGATTGACAGCGACTGAACAAGAAGTTACTCGTGTCACCTGCGCTTCACATTGTAGCACTTTAGTATAAAAAGTAGTTGAGGCTCTGGTTGGGTCCTGATGCTTCAGCATCCATAGCCTCAGACTCCATTCCCTTGAACTGATTTTGGCTATCAGTCTGTCCAACTTTGGTTTTACTGGCACCCTAACCAAGGACTGATTTGTCTTTTAAACAGTATCTAATTTCAGGCCTTCCCTAGCAGTCCAGTGGTAAAGACTGCCTCCAATGCAGAGGGTGTGGGTTTGATCCATGGTCAGAAAGCTAAGACTCCATATACCTCGAGGCCAAAAACCAAAACTTAAAGTAGAAACAATATTGTAACAAATTCAATAAAGACTTTAAAAATGGTCCACATCAGAAAAAAAAAACCTTAAAAAAATACCCAATTTCATCTGCTTCCTTTCACCCAATGTGCCTGATTTAGTATTTATTTTTTATTTATCTAACAGAGGCCCTGAACAATCCTTTTGTAGCAGTATTCATTTGCAGATGTTTTTGTCAGCATGATCTTTTAAAAATGAAAATATGGTACACACACACCTTAAAGCCTTGCTATGACTGGCCATTATTTGCAGAATAATGTCCAAACTCTGTATTGTGACCTCAGGCTTTGCATAGTCTGACCTTTACATTTCTCATCTAGCCTTATCTTGTCCAGCTCTCCTCCCTCCTCCTTGGCTGTCTGTTCTAGCCTCTTCAGCATTCTTTTGGTTCCTTGAATGTACATTTCTTCTTCCTGCCAGAGGTCCTTTGCATTGATGTCTCCTCTGTATGGATATTGTTCCCCACCATTCCCCTTTCCATTAGTTATATACCCAGCCTTCAAGTATCAGCTTAAATCTTAAGGATGTGTTTTCTGAATTCCTTGACTGAATCAGAGTCTTTTTTCACATGCTCTTGCAAAAGTCTGGGTTTCCCCCTTTCTGATCATTTCTTACACTTTGACTAGAGCCGTTATTTTGGTGATTGTTTAGTTCCCCCATGGACTCTAAGCTCCAGTAGGGGCAGGAACCATATCTTGTTTTGCTCACTGTTGTATCTTGACTTGACTGTACATGTTAAGTTCTTTAATAAACATATGCTGAATGAAAGTAAAGGAAGCCCATATATAATAGCACTAGTTTGGTTCAGCTCTTGGAATATATGATAAGCAAAATATGGGCTTTGTCTTTATGAACTCAGAAGGAGCTCATGACCTTGATGAGGGAGATAAACCTGAGAGATGTAACTACCAAGTATGAGGAAGCACAGAGGAGCTTCTGTCTTTTGGTGCCCAGTGAACTAAAACCTTCTTTCTCCTTCCTGCACTGATGCAAACAAGGTAGCAACCAGTGAGTGATTCCAGCCTTCTCTTGCCCTTGTCAGCCAAGCCCTTCTGACCCTGTGCTTGCATAGGACCTGAAGTTCCACAAAACCTCAGTAACTGAAAGGTCAACATTTTATGTTTAGGAGTGAAACACATTTTGTGCAGTTAAGATTATAGGTTATTGTGCCCCAGAAGGAGCAATAACAACAAACAGATTGTTTAGAGATAGATTGAGAAATGAGGTGAATTCCATAATTTGATAAATAAGAGAATAGTGGCTTAAACAATAATCAGTTTGTTTTGATTGTCCAAAAGGATTCAGAAAAGTAAAATTAATTCACTGCAATCTATTAAATATAGGATGAACTTTTGGGAAGAGTAGAAGTCAAACAGCTATTGTTAATAATATAGGTTGTTTATGTTTTATAAGCACATCAACATACTTTTTTTAATAAGAAACATATACGCAGTTTCTTAAAAACCCTAAACATTTTATAGTCTATGTTTCCTATTTACCTGAATTAAAAGGGCTTTGTAGTAGTGTTTTCCAGTGGAGAAAGGAAACACCAAATTTTTTCTCTTTTTTTTTAAACCACAGATAAGATCTT